GCAGGCCCAGTGTGACTGTGCCCTCTCTCTGTGACGTCCCTGGGCACTCTGGCCCTCGTCTCCTCCATGCATCCTCTTCGCCATAGCAGACATCCCCCACATGCAGGGCTGGAGAGCCTCCTCCACCTGCTTGCCCCATCTGACCACCATCCTCCTATCCTTTGGAACCAGAGTTCCAGTCCCCGAGACCTGCTGCAGCCATCCTGTCCCAGCGCTGCTGGCGGCCTGTGCTAGGTCCTCATCAGGCCCCCCTTGAATCCTGTCATCCATTGTCTGAGTGCCAGAGAGATGAAGGTGGCTCTTAGGAAATTGTCCCATCAAATACAGAGAACAAACTGAAAGAGCTATTTCAAAATATATTACTCTTTAATGTGTAAAATCAATATCTAACTGGAAAGAGAAAATACAAGTGCCTAATATTAGATTAGGATTGTGTATATGTGTTAAAGAGATCTGGAATACTTTGAGATACTCTAATACCCATGGGCTAGTAAAACACCTGGATTTACACTTTACGCTCAAGCATATTTAATAAACTAATACTAAAACATTAATTCAATGTAGGTAGATCTATTGTGGTTTTGAAAGAAGCAAAAATGACCACCATTGGGAAGGAAAGAATGGACATTAGCACAGATCCTACAGAGAATAAAATAATCATAAGCAAATGCGAGTAAACTCCTTTATGCCATTAAGTTTGACAACCTAGATGAAACAGATGATTCTCTAAAGCACACAAACTAAAGTAACTCTTGGAATAAATTCAGTCAGGCTACAAAATTCAACTGCATTTGCACATGCTTAAATATAGCTGTCAGTAACTTGTTAATAAATATAAAAATATTAATGATAATTACATCAAGAGCATAAAGTAACTAGTGATACAATGAACAGAATATTTGAAATACCTGTTCACTGAAAATTAAGAAACTAAAATAAAATGGTGAGAATACATAAGGATGGCTAAAATAAATGAAAAGTTATACCATATTCATGTGACAAGATATTCAGTAGTTTTCTATGAAAATTGTTCCAGATTTATACCTTTAACTTAATCTCATTCAAAATATTAGTATTGGTTTTTGGAGACACTAAGAAACTGGTTTCAACGTCTGGCAATTGGCAAATGGATAAAGGAAATGTGTATATACACACATATGCACATATATATACATATTATATACATGTGTACACACACATACGTGCACACATGTATGCACATGTATGTGCACATGTATACATATATGCACACGCATATGTGTGCACATATATACATATATATGCACGCATGCATATGTGTGTGCATACACATATACATACACACCAACATATATATGCATATACATATGCATGTATACATATATGTACATACATATATTCATATACACACCTATACTTATATAAACACATATGCATACACAGAGATATACACATATGCATGTGCATACATGAATGTGTACATACATGTGGGTATGTGCACCTGTATGCATATATACACCTATACTTATATATGCGCATACATATATGTACATAGATACACACAGATACACATACATATACACACGTATATATACACACATATACATATATACGCATACACTCCTATACATGTATGCACACATATACAAATACACACACCTATACGTATATATACACATATACATACATACACACATGTGTATACACACATATATGCACACACATACACATATACACACAAACACACACATATATACATGCATACAATGGAGTACTAGCCAGTCACATGAAAGAATGAATTCATGTCATTTCAGGCAAAATGGGTACATATGGAACAAATAATGGTAAGTAAAATAAGCCAGACTCTGGGAGACAATTAATGAATATCCTGACTTTAAAAAGATTGGGAATCCTCACTCTTTAGCAGAAGTTTAATGCCTCGACTGCATGGAAGTTAAGACTAGAGTGCTGGATTCACAGCAGCCATTGTGCACCTATGCCAAAACTGATGTAAGCTATCTGATTTCCTGTTCAGAAAGATTTCAACTTGGCTATCTTACTTTCCATGTTTATTTTGCCTTTTTAAACATAAACATTCCATCACCATTACAGTCAGTGTTATTTGAGTAAATATCCACATGAATGGTAGCATTTTGCCCTTTGCTTTCATGTTTTTTGATGCTCAGTAACGAAGTACCAGAAAACTTATTCACTTGCTGTATCAGAAGGGTCAAAATGGACTTTTCTTTCATTTTTATAGTCCTAGGTTTATATGTATTTATTGGATACCTCAAAATATTGTCAAGAAATTTTATTTGAATGAATAAAGTAGTATAGTAGGGGAGAAAATATCTTCAAGGAAGTTTTGTGTTTTTAAATTCTATTTTATGGTATTAATGTGCTTGCACATTAATTTCCTCAGCAAACTTTGAGATTCTCAAAACAAGACATTCATATCAATAATTATCTTCCCAGAACAATCACTATTTTTGTCATATATAATCTGCATATTTTACATTAGAAACATGAAAAGTACATAAAATAAATGCATTTGTGTTAGACGTGAGCTACCATTTCAGAAATAGTCATATTTATGTAAATATACCTATATATAAATGTATAATTACTATCTGTCTGCTTTAAACTTGTATCATTTTATCCCATAATATTTCTTCCTATCTGGATCTGGGATTATTTTGGAACCACAGTGATGTGTGTTTGCAGACCACCCAATATTAAATAATTTGTAGGGCCCAGCAGGTGGTGTGGTGGTTGAGGTGCTGGACTCCCACATGGCCGACCATAGTTCTAGTCCTGGACTTGGTGGCTTGCTTTCTCTCTCTCATTCATGCACACACATGTGCCCTATAGCAAATTAAAATTAATAATACATAAAATTATAGAGATGATTATTTAAACATTTAAAAATAAATCATTCATTTTAAAAAGAATTTTGGGGCCGGCAGGTGGCATGGGGGTT